GGGGGTCTGGGACCGACGAGGCAGGGGCGGCGCGACGCGCTGGAGACGTTGGGCCGTGGGCCGGAGTGGGAGTGCCAGGCATCAAGGATGCGAACGCGTTTGTGAGCTCGTGGAGCTGCAGAACGCACAGGTGAGGTCTAGTGACCTCCGTCGTCTTGACAAGACGTGACCTCGCTGAGGAAAGTTCGAGAACGGAATGTTCTCATCTTAGTGAGGGAGAGTGTAACGGGGTTACATGGTGTGGAACACACAGGGGTACGAAGTACCCGGCGAGTTAACAAACTCTCAGTACATAAGTTGGAGAGTTAACAAGGTCTCTCAGTACGTTGGCTGAAAGCCACACGTTATGCATTTGATTAGGTTTAACTATGCTAGATAGTTAAAGAGATACATTTACCCCTAGGCGGCTTGGCCGCAATAATAGTAAATAAATCACTTCTGGTTTTGAAGCATAAAAGTTAAGGTGTTAACTTTGAGCCCTGGTCTTGGGCTGTAAGTGTCCTTTGGATAAGGAACTTAGTATTAGTGACTCTTTGAGTCGAACGTCTTCCTCTGACGCTAAAGCTACGGCAGCCCCGCTGCATGTATAGTAAGTGATACGCTCCTCTGTCACGTACCCCTTCCTGTTTGGCTACGTACCATTAGGGTTTGGGTTGCGGTTACGTTGTACCCGGTTACTGTTGAAGTTACGGTGTAACTGGTTACACTTGAAGTTACGTTGTACCCTGGTGTAGACTTTTGAGCTCTGTGGAAAGCACAAGTTAGTGTACACATATGCCGCCGCTCGCCTTCAGTCCTCACTTCTCCTTTTGCCGACTCAAGCACAAGCATCCGCCCTTACCTCATATCCTCCTTTAGGATGACCAAGTCTTCAGCCACCTGGAAGCGTAGCGATGGAAGTCGTTACAAGCCTTCGTACCGACTGACTGCGAAACAGTACAACCAACGAGAGTCCGATGAGTGGGACCTACGCGTTGACGTCCACGACGTCTTCACGCCCAACAAGCTCGTCAACAACCTGTCGGCACACCTACTGCGTATCAAGTTTGCACTGATCTCTGCGGTCGAGACCCCAGACACTGAAACCAACCTACCTGACGATGGTCGTTCTCATAAGAGTCGTTCCGAATACCTCCATGTACACGTGGCGCTCTGTTTGTACCAACCTCTCTCCAAGGCAGACGTAGTCCGTCTCCTGTTGAGCAAGCATCCAAAAGACGTGCCTGCCGGTCAACTCTACTGCAAGCCTCGTAACAAGGCCTGGTCCTACGGGGGCTGGATCGCGCACCACACCAAAGACTTTACCAAGTTAGCTCCTGATGCTACCAGCACGTACTGGCAGTGCGGTGCTGTTCCTGTCGAGGGCCTACAAGAGACATCGTTAGACACGTTGCGCAAGTGGGCTGTCACGGTGAAGAAGTACGCACCACCTCACTGGCAAGAAAAACTGGATGCCTACCAGAAGAAGCTGGACGCGATGTTGGACGAAGAAGAACCAGGCTTCGTGGGACCGACTCGCTACCAGATCCAGATCCGTATCGACGAAGAAGAAGAGGAGAAAGAACCTGAACCATCGATCCATCCTAGTTTTAACCTTCTGTAACAAGTTGTCACTTTTGCTTTTGCATGCCGCGGCGCAGACGTGGTCAAGCACCTACCAGGCGTAGTACAAGGGTTCGTTACGCACCAGGCTACTCACACAGACGTAGACGTCTAGCAGACGGAGCACCTCACAACGTTCGTGTTGTAGGTTACGTACGACGCAGAGCACATCGACGATGAGCGAAGCAAGCAACAAGCGCGCACGCATAGAGGACGGTATGGAGGACGAAGTAGACGAGATCGGGGCTGGTCTACAAGTGGCCAAGATACACAGACCTCCACCACACGTTTACAACAACAACTACACAGTCAGGCTAACCTATGCCGACAACTACATGAAGACCATGGCGTACTCTGGTGGCAACGCAAACCACATCTGGCGTATGAACTCGATCTTCGACCCAGACTATACTACCACGGGACACCAGCCTATCGGCAGAGACTTGTGGGCCAGCATGTACGACTACTATACTGTTATCCGATGTGACTACAAGATCCGTATGTACAACGCCCAAGGACGTGATCCTGTTACCTGGGGAGCCGTAGGCTCTAGTGCGCAAGCTATAGGAGCGGTGAACGCAACGTTCCTGGCTAGCACCAACGACACAGACATCTCCAACGCTACTTTTGTGTATCCACAAGCAGAGATGAAGAACACGCATACCAAGTTCCTAACACCGTTAGGCTACACTGACTTTACAGGGTCTCTCACACAAGGAGACTTTATCGTAGACGCAAAGGATGCAGACCAAGACACGACGTGGACGGTGAACGGGGCAAACCCGGCAGTTCCTCGATACTTTGGTGTTTCGTTCACATCAGCAGCTCCAACGCTTGTTAGTATCTCTGAGACGTTGCACACAGCAGTGCAGATGCAAGTCATACTAGAGTACACGGTACAGTTCACCCAGGTGAACCCAGCGTTACGTCAGGCAGCCTCATAACCAGACTTCCCAAGCACACCGCAAGCGATGATCGTGTTTCAAGTGTGGAAGTTCCCCCCGCGCACGGAGGAAGACATACAAGCGTGGAAGCTGTACGTTGCCATACATGAAGAAGCCCGCTCAAGGTCTCCTGTTAGCATCATACTAGAGTGGGTAAAGAACTTTTCTGTAGATGACCCGTGTACTGCACGAGCCATAAACATCTGGATCTTGCGTAGCAACCCTAGGGTGTTAACAGTATAACATAACGTACTTAACACGAACACTTAACAAGGTTTATGTACCGTACACAAAAGAGGGAAGGGGTACGTGACAGAGGAGCGTATCACTTACTATACAGTAACTGCACTGGTGGTGGTAGAGCTCTATAGAGCTCTACCATCTCTCTGTCATTATTAATTAACTAGCCGAGCCAGGATGGTTAAACGTCATTTAGGCTCCAAGTTTACAAACGTGTCTTAATGGGGTCTACTTAACCAACTCGCTGCTGCTGGCCGGGTACGTCTCATCCTCCCAGCCAGAAAAACATGCTCCAAAGCAGGAAGGAGCAGACGGTAATGAGGGCGAACAGCACCAGCACGAGTATCACGAAGATCATATAGTAGCATAGCCCCGCTCTCCAGCGACACAGTGTGGCTATAGTACCGAGTGCCGCCATGGCCATGACTACACCGGCCACACAGATGAGCGTTGTAGCGAGCCCGTTGATAGGAGACCAATAAGCCTGGATGACTTCCACCCAGCGCGTGTGACGCACGAACATCGCCTCATAAAGCACCAAGCCGGCACCGAGCGCCAAGAAAACGTTGATGGAGATCAGCAGCAGCGCACTCACGCATTTCGCCAGCCAGTCCACGCATCCCATGACGTTCGGCACCCAAGAGGTTCAACTCGGAGAATTCTTGACGTCTACAACTGGAAGTCAGACCGAGTCTCTGAAAACCGATACGGCGGGTCCCGCCGCGGGACGCTTATTGTGCATTTCAATGCTTTTGTCCTTTTCAGGCTACAAAATTCCATCTGCAAAGCACAATAGTATTTAATTTTAAGTACTTCTGCTACTACATGTACAGTACCGTTGAATTTAAATATCAATTAGAGAAAAAACAAACGCTTACTACTGTAGTCATTCGGAATAATACGCCGTCTACTATCATTAAAGATCGCGGTCTATGAGAACTGCGGCGTTGTAGTCGATGGCGTTGTATTTTTAGGTAAGCGCTGACAGCTCAGGTGGTTAGGAGTCTTAACTTAAGACAGCCCCATTGGGGAGCAGGGTTGTCGCGGGTTCAAGCCACATCGAACCCGCTAGTTTTCCGCGCTTAGACTGTAAGCCTCTTCGCTCTGTTGTCCTTTACCTAACTCTCTTTCTTTAATCTCTTGTCGTAGATTAAATCCATTAGCTCGTCCTCGATAGTCCCGAGCAGTGGCTTTCGAATGCCACCGATGATGCAACAGCGAGATGAAGCTTCGGCGCGAATTTGCTCTCGGTCCCGCCACTATTGCCGGAAGCATGATGCGCTTATACGCCAGCCCAACAAATTAAGGTGCTTTTCGACACGTGATGGAATACCACCACCTTTAGTCTCTATCCAGTCGATCGCAGTACAGCGTGCGATTCGCACGCTGTTTCAAACTGATCTCAAATCTTGGCGGCATGACAGCAAAATTGATAATGATCGTAGTAATAGTTACCGCGAGTTATAATATGAGACCACGCAAAACAAAATGATCCTTAAATCGCGATTCGTACTTAGGTTCGTTGAGCTACAGAATACTTAAAACTGAAGAAGTTGTGGTCGCTCAAAAAATATTATCTCCATGTTCTATTTCGATAAAACGCGTCGCTCAATTGTGAGGGCGTTTTATTCGCTAGGGGGGGGGGGTGAAATTATCAGCCGAGATACATGGGCATTTCGGCGGTATGATGAAGAATTTACCGCCGACAGAGATAGCTTTGAGCCAGTGACTCGCTGCCAGCACTTTATGGATTGCGAACATCTGTCCCGCTGTCAATTTGAGCAACATGTGGTGGAAATGCGAGTCTTGCAGGAGAGCAGCGTAGAGCGACACGTTTTCCGTGACTATCTGTCTGATGCATTGCTGGATAGCCGGGCAACAAGCAAACCCTATAATACTAACCGTAACGCTGGCATCGCTGTGTCAGTGACACTGTCACTGGCCTTGGCACCGCACGTGGGGTGATTTGTTCGGAGTTTGGTATCAATACTGGTACTCAACTTTAAAATGCATGTGCGCAGCAGAACATCTTCAGTTTTGACGTTCGTTTGGAAATTGCAGCCGGAAAATTGCAACTATACAGTCCAAAAAACGAGGTCAAGTTGCCGGACAGCAGTTTCATGTGTGATTCGCTGAAATACGGGCGTTTTTGACCTGGATTGGCCAAAACTGTTGTCTTTTGCATGGGATTTGAGCAAGCTGATCACTCTACGCCGTAGACTACGGCGGTACGGAAAATCATTCCCCGTTTTGGCGCTTCGGACACCATAGCCGCAGCTTTGATCTCTTGGACGATATTTACCTAAGCTTTCGTGATAATGCCTCAACTCACGGTCGCCGGTGGCCTTATGGTCCTTGTGAATATTGGCTTTCTTGTAGCTGGCGCTCTGCTACTCCGCTTTAAATCGACGCTCGAGGGCAGCGGCTGGGCTGATGCTCTCGTGGGTACAGACTACGAGTCTGCTGCGGACATGGCGACGACAATGGTGCAGATACTGGGAATTTCGGCTATAACTCTGGCATTGGTGGGAATCATAGGCGCCATCATCCAGAACCGCTTGCTGCTCCTGTTGTACTCTGTTGTTATGGTCATTGCCATGTCGGCGTTCGGTGTCCTGGCTGGCACAGCCTTCACATTCAAGACCAAGATGAATGACTGGGAAGAGGCCACGTTCCCCGCTGAAGACCAGGAGAGCAAGCTGGCAGAGACCTTTAATGAGGTGTACTGCTACGCCGAAGGGTACTACTATTGCAACAACGCTACGGCACAGGAAGCCTACACGACCTTCTTTCCGAACGCCTCGACCTCACTAGTGGGTTTGTTGCCCAATACAACTGGTATCGTGTCGCTCTGCGACGAGCTTAACACCTCTGTGGAAGGCCTATCGACGGTGTGCGAGGCCTGCAACATGTCGACAAAATACACTAAGTACGACAGAATCCTCACCTGGGCTGAGAGCAAGTGTCCGAGAAATGCAGTAACAGGACAATGGTGTGCTTCGTTCCTTGCTACGGGAACCGCAGGTGCAATTTACGATGGTGCACCGTATGGTCAATGCCGCACCATTTTTCTGGATGTAGCCATCGACTGGAGCGGCACCATGGCAATTGCTGGCTTGCTTGTTGCGATCGCTGCTGCTGCCATCGTGGCTCTGGCATGTTTCGCTCGTCGCTCGAAGGGCTCAAATGAGCGTCTTACTAAAGTGTAACGTTACAGTAAATAAACTTAAGTACGTGTGATTACTACTACAGTTTGAAATACAGCTACCGGTAGAGGTAGTACTAGTTACTAGCAAGAAATTAAGCTAGACCATTTGAAATAGTACCACTGCTGGTAATAAAGGAAAATAGTACAAATCTATTATTACTAATATTTAAAAAAAATCAGCTGTAAACCTCTTCTGTAGTAGTGTTTTTTACCTGTAGTACTACTAGTAGTACAGGTAGATGTTTCTGAAGCCAATACAGGGTACTACTTAATCCGGAAGTACTACGTAGTACTACAGTAGTTTTATGCAATTTGTGTACGGCTGGTGTTTCACATTGAAAATTGCTTGGCTGGCTCCGGGCGAACCAGAGTTTATTGAGCGCTGTTCGTGCGATCACAATGGCGACCAGCGGCGAGTTCAAGCGGCTCGTGCTGAAGCAGTTCCCGGCTACGAACGAGGTGGAGACGGCCGAGAACTCATACTGGAAGAAGTTTCATGCACCCCAAGATCTACAGCAGGTCGGCCCCGTCACCCACATCGACGTGTCGCCAGTAGCGCCGCACCAAGTAGCTATCACCTCGTCCACGCGTATCCACCTATACAGCACCACGACCAACGAAATTGTTAAGACCTTCAGCCGTTTCCGCGACGTCGTATACTCCGGCACCTTCCGATCAGACGGCAAATTGCTGGTGGCAGGTGGAGAGGCTCCCTTCGTTCAGGTACTGGACATCAACACGCGTTCTATTCTACGGTCCTTCAAGGGTCACACTGCTGCTATCCGCAGCACCCGCTTCTCAGCAGATAATGTGCACGTGCTGTCGTGCTCTGATGACAAGACAGCCCGGTACTGGGACCTGCCTACAGGCAAGCCGCTTGCTCTGCTGGGAGAGCACTCAGACTATGTGCGCTCGTCGGCTGCCAACCCGTCATCCCACAACGTTTGGGCAACGGGCTCGTACGACCACACTGTTAAGCTCTGGGACCTGCGCACGTCGGACCAGACGGTGTCTAAGAGCACCATGAATCTGGACCACGGTGCTCCAGTTGAGGCGTGTATGGTCATGCCGGGTGGCAGTCTGCTACTGTCGACCGGTGGCAACACTATCAAGGTGTGGGACATTCTATGCGGTGGACGGATGCTTCACTCGTTCTCGAGCCACCAGAAGACCATCACTAGCTTGGGGCTAGATGGCACGGGCACACGTCTCATGTCTGGATCGCTCGATGGACACCTGAAAATTTACGACTTGAAGACGTACGAACTTGCACACGGATTTAAGTACAAGAGCGGTGTTCTCGCCTTCGGTATGTCGCCGACAAACTCGCACCTTTTCGCTGGTACGGTGGACGGTATTCTAGCTGTACGTCGGCGCACCTTGAAGCGCACAGAGCAGAATGACATCAAGACCCGTCAAGCTATCATTCGTGGCGGCAGCTACAAGTACTTTTTGCGTGGCAAAAATGCAAAGCCAGCAGCTGCTGACTACACTGTGGCCACCACCCGTCACAAACGTATTCAGCCGTACGACCGTGCCCTTCGGAAATTCGACTACAAGAAGGCTTTGAACGAGGCTCTGGACACACGTTCACCTGTCGTTGTTGCCAGTATGCTGGAGGAGCTACGCCTGCGTGTGGGACTCAAGCGTGCGCTGGGAGGACGCGACGAGGAATCGCTCGAGCCTCTTCTGGCTTTCCTAATCAAATACGTGACCGACCCCAAGTACGCGTCGCTACTCATCCACGTCTGCACGATTATGTGCGACCTGTACGCACCGAAGCTTAGCCAGTCTATGCTTATTGACAGCTTGTTCGTGAAGCTTCGCGAGAAGCTCAACGAGGAGCTACGCGTGCAAAAGCAAGTACTGAGTGTGGTGGGTATGATGGACTCGCTCATGGCTGCTCAGTCGAACGGCACCGTCGGGGTGGATGTCAGCAGTTAGATTAGGTCAGAAATACGATGCTGAAGACTTGTCCCGGTGTATAGATTTTCATTTGTGTCCACGATGTTCTTGTTATTTTTCAAACGGGAGAAAAAAAAAAGCTGTGTTCAAGACAACATAAAATGCAAAATGGCAGCACGATGTGCGCCTACTCAATTCGAGTCCTGCCTCCCCTGTCCTTCGCTAATTGCTAGTTCTGTCCACCCAACCGCCATTGTCCACCAGCTTTAAACAAATCTATCTAGAAAGAGTGTGGATAACCTTAAGCACGTCCTCAAACTCGATGTTCTCCTGGACCTTCTTGGCCTGCATCTGGTTGTCCTCGTTGGGGTTGATCTGGATTAGGTTGTCGGCAACAGTCCACTTCTCGGCTGCAATGGTTAAAGTAAATATTGTCAGGACTCACACGGTACAGCTGAGAATGACGCTGTTACGTACCAGCGACAATCTCGGCCACTTCCTTGTCAGACACATTAAGTTTGGCCTTAAAGACTTCCGTGGAGATCGCACTGTGGCTGCGGCTGATAGCGGTGAGAATGTAGGCGCGTACCGACTCCAGGAAGCCCGGCACCTTCTCAGCAAAAGCCACACTCTCCTTCCAAAACTCCTCGAAGAGGCATGACTGAAGCATAAAACCGGTATGCAGCACTGCCGTCACATTGGCGTCCTGTTACATACCAACATTGTCTTCATTATTAATACGCAATGACAATGCCCTTCAAAAGCAGCTTATCGTACCTCGTGAACGCTCTCCGGGACCATAGTAGAGGCACCAGTGAAGAAGGTGGAGGGCAGTGACATTACGCCCTTCACCAGCACCTTGGCCACATTCTCGGCGTTGGTGGTGGCCGGGTACACCTGGTACAGCTTGAGCAGCGCCAAGTTGGCGTCGATGTCCACGGTCTTGCTCTGCAGCTGCTCGGCCAGGTACGTCTCCAAGACCTTCACACTGGCCTCCTCACAGAAGCCGCGGCTGTTGTGCACGGCCTGCAGCTGCTGCTGCGTGGCCGAAGCATTATCTGCCGTCACGAAGTCCACGATCGTCTGCTGCTGGAAGGCCGGCATGCTTGGCTTGGTGCTCTGCTGTGTTTATTGTGCTCCCCTTTTGAGGTCGATTGGTTGGGAGGCATCGAATATACGAATTTGAGGGCAAGATTGCTATAGACAGGCTATTTTAAATAAAAGTTATAAGATCATCAAATCCAAATTTACTACCAATTGAAGCGTCCCAAAACAGACTCGTCACATGGCTTCATCGGTGGATTGCAGTTTTTTTTGTCGGGCTGTCGTAGTCTACTGTACGCGCGGCTCGTCCGTTCGATGGATCGCACCGATCGATCGATCCCGCTTCGCTGTCCGCAGCAACTCGCAAGGACCTGTATGAGCAAAGGAAAATTGGTTCTGCACTCGCCTGCTGGCCCGCACCAACGTCGATCAAACCAAGACGACGAATGCGATGACTACTGCAAAAACTACAAAACATGTAGCAGCACCACGAAAGGGGAGATGCAGTGTTCAACTTCAGCGTTTGCCCCACTCCACAAAGCAGCAACATCATCTTCTGACGCGACAATGCTCGGTCGCTCCAAATGCGTGATTGTGCTTCGACGCTGCGAAGATCTGAACATCCGCACCGGTGGCTTCCAAAAGATCGAGGAGGCTGCGCATCGCCTAGGTATTCGTCGTTCTCGACACCAACAGAAGCACCCAGATGAATTCCCAGCTAAAGATCAGCTGCCGAAAGAGGCCGGTCTCAGGAAACAAAACCAACTTTGAATAAATTATTTACACAATGCTTACATAATTTCTACGTTTTCCTTCGTCGCTTTGCCAAAATCACGCACAAAACTATTATTGTGCGAGAAGCGATACGATGGCGGGCAAGAGCGGCGACGTGACCGACGAGGAAGACATGGACGTCGACGTCGGCGCCCAGGCGCGTCTACAGAACGTGACGCTGGGCATGAAGCAGCAGGCAGACGAACTGTTGCTGTCCAAACAGTTCGACAAGGCGCTGACGCTTTATCGGGAGCTTCTCATGCATCTTACGCGCTCACAAGTGACGCTGCTACAGCAGAGGGACCTCGTGGTCTCCTGCCATATGAATGCTCTAGCGGCGATGAGTAAGGCTAAGCGGTGGAGCAGCGTCGTGATGGAGGCGGCGGAGACGATGAACGTGTTCTCAGAGCTCCAAGAAGCTCAGGGGGCGAAGAATATTCCGTCTGCGGAGCAGCACAGGGAGAACGCGATACTTGCTCGAGCCTATTACTTCCGAGGCTTTGCCTATCTGAGGCTAGGAGCGTATCAGCCTGCACAGCAGGACTTCCGTCGAGCTTTAGAGCTGAATCCCGATGACGAAACTATCCAAAATGACTACAAGGAGTTGCAGACGGCGTTGCAAGCGGAACAGAGAGTCAAACAGCTCTTAGCCACGTCGATGAAGCTCTTCCAAGCTGGAAACTACAAAGCAGCGGTGGAAGCGTGTGTCAATGCGTTAAGGGAGAGCCAGATGCTTCAGAAGACGGAGCTCACGGGGCTAATTCATGGAAATCTGGCTGCTATCTACGTGAAGATGAAGGACGACGCCAAAGCGATTGAGCATTATAAGCGGACCATGTTGCTGACTCGGTGTGGGGATAAGCCCACGACTGCACAGAATGAAAGGGTGTACGATATCCTGGACAGTCTGGCAGGATGCTATTCGCGCAAGCGGGACTACAGCTCAGCGTTGTCGGTGATCGATGACCAGATTAAGCTGTTACCATTGTGTCCAGAACGGAAAGATCGCGAGGCAATGATGTATCTGAACGGTGGTCGCATTTGCTACACTATGGGAAGGTACGCACAAGCAGAGGAACAGTTGGAAAAGGGACACAGTGTGGCGCTGAATGCTTTAAAAACCCAGTTGGACATTGCGTTAAATTGCGCATATTGGCTAAGCAAGGCCTACACCAAGAACAACGAGGTTGAAAAGGCCATGGAGACACTTGACGCATCGATTTTGGAAGCAGAGAAAGTGGCAAACGATTTGACCATTACGGACTTACTGGAAAAAATGTTATTGGCACGATTGGACTTGTTGGACCCAGAAACGAATGTCTGTGCTACTGAAAGTGACTTGTTCAAAGGCCAACATCGGGAATCCCAGCTTTGGCAAAGTCTGGAGTATTTTGACGGAAAACGGCGGATTTGTGGTCATGTTCGGGCGGCAGAAGTGCTTTTTAACTTCCTGAAAGAAAATGGAGGAGCTGGGGGCGAGGAAGGCCGTTCCAAGATGCTGCGAGCTGTAGCTCTTACTGATTGTGTCAATATTGGAAAACTGTCAAGTGCTGATGCTACAGTTTTTATGAAGCTGGCGCTGGCTAAAGTGGACATGGCGGCTAATCAGAGCTCAGCTGATCGAGGAGATGTAAAGGATCTACTGGCGAGATTGGTACGCGACCTGGAGGTTCCTGGTGGTGCAGACCCTTCTTGCCGGCTGCAGTTGCGAGGCACTGCACTACTCAAGCTGATGGATATTTGCATCGACGACGAGGAAGACGATGAGGAAGTCCGAAACTATCTCGAAGAAGCTGTTGATGTACTTCACGAAGAAGACGAGACAGCAACAGCACAGCTTGTCGTGTTATTACCGAAGATCGGGCGATGGAGAGCTGCTCGAGGCGATCTTTCTGGCGCTGCAGAGGCTTTGGAGGAGAGTGTGGAGCTGCTCCGTCATGCCTCAAATAGTGACCGCTTGTATGAGTCGCTTGTCGGGCTCTGTGTGGTGCGAATCCGGTTGGGAAAGCTCGCGGAAGCCTTGTATACGATTAAAGAGATCGAAACACTTTCGAAGGCTCGAAACGCTAACGAACTGGTGATCATTAAGGACCGACTGCAAGCAGCAATAGTCGCGGCTCGGGATGCGAATCAACGGAAGACAAAGGCATCCGAGAAATCACCGTTGTTCGAGAAGCAGAATTATGCGTCCAGTAGCCACAGCTTCTTGTGCGGGATCAGTCAGCTGTGGTGGGGCCGATGGTGTGGTCCGCTGATTGCCTGTATTGCTGCCGCAGTTGTGGCATTGATTTTTGTGTGATCAGCTCACGCGAAAGAAACGTGAGATATATGAACTGTAGGATAGAATAGTACGAGGTCGAATGAGGTGTGAGCTGATAGGTTACGGGTAGTGTGCAAACTCTTGTTGCTAAGTTGAATCAGTCGTTGTTCTTTGCGTCAGCTCCAATGACCTCGTCAGGTTCGTCGTCCTCGTCCTCGTCGCCATTACCATCGTCTCCTTCTGAGCTATTATCAGAGTCATCCTCCTCATCTCCATCGCCTTCCTTGTCACTTTCATCCGATCCTTCCTCTTCCGCTTCTGTTGCTACATGATTGTCAGATCACAAAATAAGCTCTTGCACCTTATGAGCTCTTCATTAGATGCTGTACCCATGGCATCGTGCTGCTTCATAACCTCCAGCAGATCCCGCACAAGACGGTTGTTGGGCTCTGCCTTCAAAACTGCGATCCATATCGAGTCAGAAATACTTCCATTATCACAAAGTGCACAATTCATTGCAATCATCGGCTTCTCTTACTTTCTTGTGCAGCGCGTTCCGCTCCGACGCTGTTTCGCTCCTGAACGCACTTCAGGAACGTCGTGAGCAGACTCACTGGCGCTTTACCAGGAGCCCAAGCACCATCGACTTGTTCATCCCACACTTTGTCGACGCATTCCGGTCCTCGTGTGACCTCAACGCCTCCGTCCTTCTCCTCCAACGCCGGCGGCATCTTCAACTGCAACTCGCGTCGTTTCGTGCACGGCCCTGTATTTCAGTCGGAACATTTGACTTAGCTTAAATAAGTTTCTAAATATTTTGAGTGAACTTTAATAGTGGGCCCTCACAATAACACCCAATCCGCCATTGACTATCTCGGGTGATGGCATCGAACGGCGTGAAGCGCGAGGATACAGCGAACATCAAGGCGGAGGAGAGCTCAGACGACACGCAGGTTAAAGTGGAGAAGGAGGAGAACAAGGACAGCGTGAAAGCGGAGTCGGAAGGCGCTGCACTCGTGAAGGAAGAGGAGCTCGAGACGCGCAAGGTAAAGCAGGAGGAGAACGGCCGCGTTAAGGTGGAAACAGCCTCCAACGGCGTAAAAATGGAAGAAAAAATTAAGAAACAGGAGATCGATGTAGTTGAGGCGGCAGTTTCTTCCTCTGGGGAATTGAAAGTGGCAGTCCGGGGCGCTAAAAGGAACGTCAAGAAGGATGACGTGAGTAAGCAGCGAGAACAGCAAGAAGATCGCTCACACATCCGACGCAAGGCTGTCAGCTGCGATGCGGCGCTGTGGGACTCGATTGAGTGGGTCGTAGCTGCTGGAGCTGAAGTGGATGCGGGACAAAGGCTTGCTACGGCTGGGCGGCTGGAAGAAGGCAATCAGAGACCGGTACAGGCCCCGTGCAAGGGGAGACTGTACATCCTGACCAAGGAGCAGTCGGACGGCCTTATGGGCGATAAAGAGGAGGCTGAAGGGACTGTAATGAGGACCGTGGCCTTCGTGGAGTACTGTATTCACCCTCTACGCAATGGCCGCACATGTTTGATGTGTCTGGCGGTTGTAGATGACGACGAGGAAAACGAAGATATGGAGAGTGTCAATGTGGTCTCGCATGGCCAAGTTATACGACTTAATGTCGAGGAAGCGAGTACGCTGATGAGAAACTGGTTGTTTACTCGTGTTGTTGATGGCTTACTCTGGCTCTGTCGTGCTGGCTAGAAAAATTCGACTCGGACAACATTAGACGTCAGCTTGGTGCGAAGAAATTGTCGTTGGTGCTTGATCTGGACCACACGCTACTGCACGCGGTGCGTGTCGACGACGTTGTGAGCGAAATCAAGCAGACAGGTACCGTAACTGACCTTAGCATGTGACTTTGTAGATTTTAGTGAATGTGTGGCGTTATTCTAGCAGAGGACATCCACTTCTTTTTTATTCCGGGGCTTGCTCAACAGCACGTGGTGAAGTTACGACCTGGGCTGACCGAGTTTTTGACGGAGCTATCAGTGCTGTACGATTTGTTCATTTACACGCACGGCACACGGCTGTACGCGGAGAAAATTGTCAACATTATTGATCCCGATGAAACTTACTTCAAGAACCGTATTGTGGCACGCACGGACACCCCGGACATGCTTCATAAGTCACTGAAGCTGCTCTTCCCGTCTTGTGACGACTCCATGATCCTGGTTCTGGACGATCGGATCGATGTGTGGAAGGAGAACGAAGGCAATGTCTTCCTAATCGAGCCGTATCACTATTTCAAGTGCACTTCTGAGATCAACAACGCGTCTGGACGAGGTGTGGCAGGCATGGAGGATTCGGAAGCCGAGGCTAGTGAGGACAGCCATCTCGCACAGTCAACTACAGTCCTCAGGGTACGGCTTTGGTGCTGCAATGGACATATCGTCCAGTTGAAACTCACTCTTGTTCTTCTGCTCTTTAGCATGTACATGAAGCGTTTTATGCGGGGCATGAAACAGGAATGCGAGGCACTACTGCAGAAGAGCAGATGGGTGGTCACGGCCGCGACGTCAAAGGGATTCTAAGCGCGGTGGGTTATTAGTTCTGCTATCGTAAAAGTGCTGCGTGTATCTAACGATGTGTTAAATCTTAAGCAAAAACGCGCAGTCTTACGAGGCTGCAGTATTGTTTTTAGCGGAGTATTTCCCATCGTTGGCCCCCAAAGCTACGAATCCCATTACCTTTGGCGTCTTGCGGTGGATTTGGGTGCTACTCCCAGTATGACGCTAAAGGACTTTCCGTTGACACATTTAGTGATTCACCCAGAGCGACTAGGAACTCAAAAGCACGTTCAGGTGAGTGGGGTCCCTTGGTCTACAAGCGATAGCTGCATCTTGACACTGTTAAATGTGCTGAATGTAGGCGAAGAAGATACCCGGCGTGCTCATAGTGACTCCTGAATGGATCTTGAAGTGTGCTCGCTCGTGGTCTCGAGTCTCCGAGAAAGATTTCCTTGCGGACGAATGGAAGGCAAAGCACACAAAGAAAGAACCTGAGAAGAAGACAGAGGAAGCTTGCGTGCCTTCTGGAGCAGAGACACCGTCTACAAACGCACCTTCGACAGATGCTAGCGATGGTGTTGACGGCAGCCAGTCAGCCTCACCTGCTGTCTCTGCTGCTGAGGCGAAGCCGGTTACTGGTATCCTGGTCAAGCGAGAAGTGGGGGATGCGAAACGGGTCAAGCAAGTCTCTTTTGCAAACGTTATGGACGACTCCGGAAACCCTCCTAGTGAAGACAGCGTGGTGCGCAAGTCTAAGATGGTGAGGAGGTCTCGAGTAACGCGTAGACCGTCTGGTGCTATTGGTGCCACTGGTGCTGTTGCAACGGGCGTTGTGGCTACTGGAGGCACATTTGATTTCCTGTCAAAAATTAAGGCAACAAAGCGTGAACCTTCTCGTGTCAGCATCAAGACCAACAAAGCTGAAGAGACGAAGCAAACACCAGCTTCTTCACCTAAGGTAATCTGGTAATCTGGGGCGTATCGTATTCTTTTATTCACTCATTTGTTAACGAGATTGGTTGGTGTAAACAGGATATGGATGATGCATTTATGCGACTCATGGAGGCGGAGGAGCGTGAAAACGAGGAGGAACAAAAGCGCAAGCACTCGTCGAAGAATATCAAGGACCAGCTTTTCTCTCGACGGGTAAAGAAAGAGAGTAAACGGCCTCTGGAGTCAGATCCTACCACAACAACGAGGCCTGGCGAGAAGCGAATGCGAGTGACTTCTGAGCAGGCTAATGGAACGGCTGACGATGAAGAAGGGGACGATGAAGAGGTTCGTTAGTATTTAATCTTCAGAGCTGTTCGAATGTACTCTAATTGTCTCGTGCTGTGCTGATTGCAGTTGGATGATCTCGAAGCGGATATTCTGGGAGATCTATGAAGACTGTGCGACTGTGTTGTCACTTCTCTGTTGTCCTGACTCCTGTGCTTTACCGAATAAAGTCCCCAAACCAGATCAACCTTCCTGTCACTAAACAGGTAAACGGCACTTGGTAATGTGAACGTGTTACCATCATAATAACACACTCGCTGGTGGGATCTCATCAAAGCAAAACTAAATGGGATGAACTGCACCGCACTGGTACTCGATTACTACACGTAGAAAAAAATACTTTACCACTTCACTTGAAACGCGTAGCCTCCCAAATTGCTGTCTACTAGCCGAGCGCCGCCGCTACGCGGCGGTAATTTCGGTTTTACTCCAGATTTTTGCCTTCCCGCCTTCGCTTCGCTTCGGCGGGATAATTAGTCCAAATCCTCTGAGTCTCATATGTACGTAAATCGACTTCTTTAATTTCATAAATCTGCGTTTCATTTGCTACAAAATGCTGAGTTTTCAGTAAGCCGTGTAAATATTTCTACCGGTACAAAAGACTGAGCCCCTAGCATCATACTTACCATGCTCATAAACGATTACGCTAGTGATCTTGGCAAAGTCTCTTTATTGTTGTTGGCTATCACTGTACCTTAATCTTCCACCCAGAAGCACCTGCACTTTAGTCTGAAACCGCTAAATAAAATATTTAGTTTAGCGTCGTGCTCGATTTCACGGGCCGTTTCTGAAACCTAGATTGCATCAATGCAAAGAATATCTGTCCAGCTTGCATCAAATACCCGCTTGTACTGCCTGGTTAAGCTTGTAATAAACTGCCTATTAACCACTTCGCAAACCAAACTCGCTACTTTGAAAGAAAATTAAAAGTGTTACAGTTTGAATATTTAATAAAAATATTCAAGCTGTAGCATTTTTTTATGCCTTGAAGTGTGTTCATTTTGTGCTGATTTAGAATTAGTCATTAGACACTCCAATCTGTGCCTGTTATGGTTATAGCCTTTGAATATAACCATGCGTCGCAAGACGCCTTGCTTTGTTTGTTGTTGACGGCGGTATTTTTATTTGATACTTAATTGATGATTCCAGGATGGTTAAACGTAGATTAGGCTCTAAGTTGATTAACGTTTCTTTACGGGCCTACTTATAATAACCAAAATTGACACCTCTCATGTTGTGCTGTTATCTTACCACTGCATATAAAACCTTATTCTACGCCCTTGTCGGCAACGCGTCTACCTATTAAGAAGTATCAGAATTTTGTTGTCTAAAAAAACGCTAAGGAAACAATGGTCAAGTTCAATTCGCTTACAGTACGTGTAGTAATTGTCATCAGCACATATAACTTCTTTTTGTTCACACGTCAATCTAACACTATATATCTTTGTGGATCAAGTGACAACGTTTATAAGCACAGTTTTGTTCTTACGGCCAGTCTACACGACCGGCTACTGCTGTACATGTAACATGTACGATTTAGCAATACCAGAAACCCACTCAGATAACTTATTAATGCTAATATTTTTGCAGTAAAAAAAATGAAATTTCATTTTAGTCAGTGTAACACACAGATCCTACTGAGTACAGAGTATTTAGTATACTTAAACCATGTCCTCGGAAACACGCATGCTTACGTGTACGCTAAGCACCCTGCCCTCCGTGTACTGTAGTATTCAAATATCAATAACAACATGCATTATGAAAAAGTATTTAATATTTAAACGATGCCGCCTTCGGACTTTGTGCAAATCCCCATATGTAAACTGGGAAACACATGTATTTATTGATGTCAACTACACATTCTAGTTTTAACCAATTGAAGCCACCTTCGCTGCGCTCGGCAGCCAGTAGGAATATTTAAATTATTTTATCCAATGATTTTTCCGGAAAAGCGTGACAGGCACGACAATTTAGTGTGACGGACAGACAGGTTGCTGCAGTAGATGTTTAAGATTCAGACACAAGCTGGCGAATGCGTTCCTTCAGCTTATCGTAGTGTGCACTTGCCTCTGCCAGTAGCACATCCTTGCCGGCTATAATCGCACTAAGCTCGCTGATGCAATGATGAAGAGATTCCACCTACTTCTGCGACTTTTCGCCCTCAAGAAATTGCTCGCCTGCTTCACTGACCACAGCGTTGAGCTCCTGCTTGAGTGCCTTAATTTGCCTATTCCTGTCTGCGATGATATCGTCCTTTTGGACAACCAGCGCTTCCAGTTCATTGACGTGCTCGTTGTCTTCAAATGACTTCGGCTCCGTGAGTGCTTGCTCTGCTTCGTCAGCCCGTCGATTGACTGGCCCGCTCTGTGCTTGTATGGGTACCTTTCCTTGCTGGCGGAGCTGGCGTAGCACCGCTTTCCCCTCGCGACGCAGGGTAGCGTACGTGAGATTGGCGAACTCAGAACTCTCGACCATGTTGCGCCACGGAATCTGCGCCCCGTTATCCAATGCTCCGCTGACCACCTCAATCAACGTCGAGCGCTGAGTCGGTGACAACGTCGAGCGCTCCCCAGAGGGAACTTTCATTCGTTTTCGCGCCATTTCCGTGATGAGAAATTGTTGCTTTTCGGATTGACACTTCAACTTTGATCACCCAATTGATAATTAAGTTACTAGGAGGAAAGTTATATTGAGTGAGCGGGCATTAACTACAAAACGAACTTGCTAGGTAATTAGGATAAATAACGTTACGCCGAAGCGGAAGAATCCACAGAGGCCTGAAGTAGGCCATTTTGATCCAGGACGGCGACGATTGAAAAGCCGAGGGTTAGACACAATAAATCGTCCCAAGCGTGAGCGTTGGGGAAATTGTTGGAGGCATGCATTCAGCCGTGAACGTCCTGTAGGCCCGGAGTCTCGGTGCAGTGCCCGAAAATGTGCACTAAAAATGGAGCAAACTCGATACACCGCCGTTGTCGCTTGCAGCGGAGGTCCGGCTTCGAAAATATGTTTGTTCCGAGTCGTCCAAATTGTATGCAGTTTGATGCTACGCATGAGCGTCCACAACGCGGTAAACTCTTGTGCCTTGTTCCGTACACGAGTCGTCCACTCGGGGTCGCTTGCTACACATATGATGTCCCACGAAGTGTGGACAGTGAGCTTGTTCCAATCCGCACGAATGAGATGCCAAAGAGCTGCAACCCGGCGGCAGTCAAAGAACAAATGACGTTCGGTTTCAATGGAAGAGCACGTCGGATAATTAAGTTACTATGATACAGTACCTACAATTACAGCAAAGAGGAAAACACATTTGATTACATCTTGACTCCAGGGCCTCCAAAAATAGCATTGTCATTAACATTATTTACATAGATAATAGTAAATTATCTACTAAAAAACCTGAATGTAATAAAAAAAATTTGAATTTTTTTTTATTGCATTACTTATTTTAAGTGTCTTAAAAATTACTTACTCGCCAGACAACCATTTTGAAAGGTATGTTTTGTCGAGAACTCTATCGATCTCCAACCTACCTCTCACTTCTCCTTTCTAGCACAACCCGACAAGCAGACACACCGAATCCCTTTTCAGCCATGGTTCGTGTAGCCCGCCCTCCCAGGTCAACCTACTCCAATGCCCAAGTAATGGTCTTCTACTCCCGCCCCTGCCTGGACCATCACAACGAGGTGATCGTCGAATATTTCCGCTGCCGATGTGGTAAGGTGCGAAAGCAAACGCACCGAAATGGCTACACAAACCTCATGCAACATGCTCTACGCAAGCACCCTGACTACGAAGTGATAGCGCTGTAGGCAACGGCAGCGCAAACTGACTCGATCCTAAACTTTCGGCCGACGGGAAGGTGATCATTGTCCACAGCTTCCAGATGAGTCTGGCGGCCAAGTTCGGAAATTTCGACAGCCCCGAATAGTTTACTGTGCTCGACCTGGATCCCTACAATTTGATCCTGAGCATGCCATTTCTCGAGAAGCACAAACCCCGTGTGGAACTATGTTACCCATACAGGAAGCGCACCCCGCGGTCTTCCTTCTTAGTTATGGTCTGAGTGACCTCGTGTGGCACTGTGTTCTACACACAGAAGGCGTATCCGACGTTTTCCTCTTCAGTTAAGGTTTGGGCGACCGCGTGTGGCACTGTGCTACCCCCACCAGAAGCTTGACCAATGCCCTCTTCTTTGGTTAAGGTCTGGACGACCGTGTATGGAGCTATATTACCCACCTTGGACACGCTATTACCAATATTCGTGACAACTGCAGCTGTCTGCGGACTATGCTACACGTTTGTGGACCAACGTTGGCCAGCGCCGCCACCATCGAAGCTTCCTCGGAGTCGTTTATACGTCGATGCCTCCCGAGCATCTGCCAGTTTCTTCGGTATCCTGGAAGCCCTTGCGGGCGCCCCGTGTCCTGACACAGGTGGAGACATGGCTCACCAATGATCTGTCGGACATCTCAAGGCGGTTGGCACCAATTGTCAGTTTACTCGAGGCCTCGAGTGCCTCGGATGTCGACATCACGACATCCCTAGACGTGGGTAACAAAGTTCCACGCCACGGTCGCCATCGACGACGACGCCACAGCAGCCATAAGTCGGATGTGGACCTCGTTCAGATTAAGGTTGCTTTAAGTGACTCGAAGGCCAGGGCCCGGGCTTCTTTGGCACGACTGGTGGAAGATTATTATCACATCTTCAATGGCGAGACCGGTTTACCCGTCAAGGCATCTGGTGTCCACTTGGACAGACTGCAGTAACTTGTTGGTGCTGTAATTGGGCGCTCTTAGAGCGCTGTCCAAATAGTAAAGCGATCTATATTTTGACTGCCGATTTGTTCTCCTCTTGAGAAAATGAAGGCAAATAAATCGTCAGGATGTCCAAGCGCCACAATAACTTATTCTAATAAATCTATCTAATTCCATACAAACCCCTATGATAGATTGTATCTGAAGAATGATCTCAAATTAGTGCGCGACGTGAGGGCCTGAGGCCCTGCGCCGAGCGTGGTGCCATGCTCACGCGGAAGTGCTAAATCATAGCCTTACATCCAGAGGGCGTCAAGGTGTAGGCTTATGACTAGGGCACGCATTGGCGACGAAAGCATGAGCAGAAGGTCCCTGGCCGTGCAGTAGGGCTAGTAAAGCACGAGCCAGGAGGCTATGCGCTTCTTCCCTTCCAGCGCTCCGTCTTGCGAGCATGTGTGTGTACTGAAAAGAGCTGCGGCCGCTGTAATGCTATGTTTATAATGACAGACGCTGTAGTACAAGGTCGATCTAGCATTACAGCTTAAAAGAAATAGGTGCCGCACCTATTTCTTCTATACAGCGACGGATTATT